GGCCACCATCTCAGGTGTGTAATAGAGCTGTTGAAGAAGATGTGGAACCTGTCTTCCATGATCTTGACATTGCCATTTTATCAGAGGCTTGGGTTATTTCACCTCTGTGAGCATCCACTTCATCTGCAAAATGGAATCAAAATACTTATCTGAAAGGGTTGTTGTGAAATTATGGGCCTTCATTGCCCTCATCTTGAGATTTCATAGACAGGCAGGCTGGAATATTGAGGATGGGGGTGTAATCTCTTACTACTGATTTTCTGGAGTTGTGTGTGTGTGTGTGAAGTTCAAGTATGATTTAAAGGAAAGAAGGTAAATGGAACACTTATCACTGTCTTAATTTTCCAAAGGATCTCTGCCCACCCCCTTACTCATTTTATTACTGTCATTATTGCAAGAAAGTATGAAGGAGCTGGCAAGAACATGAAAATCTGCTCAGGAGCTTATGTATCTGTGTCCTTTTCAGGAGAATTGGAATCTGCCTAGCTTCCTGGTATGAAGGTAGCGATTGAGAGTTCTGGCCTTGTACTATACATGATATCATCTGCCTGGGACTCTTCATTTTGAGACTGTTGGTATGAAATAAAGAAGAGGGCCAAAAGGTCAAAACTGATGCTACTGAGAAGACTTGTAAATTTGCGGCTCTTTGGCCCCTTGAGTGTGGCTCTTCCACGGAAGCACATACAGTGTGATTGACACTTCGTGGCCCATGTGCAGAAGTTGGTTTTCGGCCTGTATGAGTCTATTTCGAAGAAGTGACGTTAGAACACTCAAGGGGCCAAAGAGCCGCATGTGGCTCTGGAGCCGCAGTTTGCCAACCATTGCTAAATAGTAGTATAGAAATGTCTTCAGGAGCAAGTAAATGGAACTAGGAAGTTAAAATTTTTTTAAGTGGCAGTATCTAAATAATCAAATTAGCTAAATGAAAACATTTTTATTATTGAAAAGGCACACCTTGCCCTTTAGGTATTACTTCTTCCCAGTGAAAGATTCTGTAATATTCTGATTTAGATACTGCCTCGTTGTTATCTTTGTGGATTCATAAGCAAGTACTGTTGTCAGTAGCCTTGTAATCTAGTGCTGCCATATTTGTAGGAACACGTGAGCCCCAAAGCAAAATCTGAGCTAACAAGTTCAGCCATTGGAAAAGGTGAAAATTGACTTTCAGGTGATGATAGAATGTTGAGAAGTTAGAGCTTTGGAAATTTTTCCTGGTGGCATTATTCTGATTCTTTATCTCAGTATAAATTCATGTGACTATATAGTAGCAAACTCAATATTTGATTTTTCTTTTTTGCAGGTTCTTGTACAAATGGATAATATATATGCATCACATTGACATTGAGAGAATCACTGTAATTTTATGAGTAAAGTGCTATATCTATAATATTTATAGTATGGAATATAGCTCTGAAATATGTATACAATCTTAATTAATGGTTGAAATGCTACCAAATTCTTTGCAGAATTTATATCTTTTAAAGTGTGTCATTTCTTATTTAATGCCCAAATTAAAACATCATTTGAAGTGTACCTTTCTCAACTGGCATAGATAACCAATTTTCTAATTTTTATCACCACCATCGCTTCTCGGCCTTTTGGCTAAGATCAAGTGTAGTGTCTAATTTTTATCACCAGATATTAATTCTGCATGTTCTTGTATCCTGTAATAATGTAGTCTTGTGTCTGGCTTCTTTTTCTCAACAAAATTTTAAAGATTCATTCATGTTGAGTGTATCAGCACTTAATTTTGTGGTATTGCTAAGTAGTGTGCAATTGGGCATTTAGGTTGTTTCTGATTTTTAAACAGACTTGTACAGATTGTTTTCTGGATATATATTTTCATTTGTCTTTGGTAAATGAATACCTAGCAGTGGAAAATAGGTTGGGTGTATATTTAACTTCATAGCTTAAAAAGCAGTTTTCCAAAGAAGTTTATCATTTCACACTCCCACCAGCAATAGTTTACGAAAGTTCCAGTTTCTCCACATTTTCCCTAACATTTGGTGTTCTCAGTGTTTTTAATTTTAGTCATTCTGGTGGGTGTAAATGATATCATGGGTTTCATTGGCATTTTCTTAATGACTAATGATTTTAAACACCTTTTCATGTATGTATTTACAGTTTGGATACCTTCTTTTTGAAGTGTCCATTAAAGCCTTTGCTCTATTTTTTATTGGGTTGTTTATATTTTTTATTATTAATATGCAGGTGTTCTCTATACAGTGTGTCCCCAAAAAAGTATACACACTTTTAATAATTATAAAGGCAGTGTTTATTAAAATACATTTCATTTTCAAATGCAATATGAAAAAATGCAATAGAATCTACAGATGTACTGTTATATATTTTTGAGTAGACACAAATTTGATTCAATTTGTCACTTTTATATGGATAGTGAACACTTTCTTCTGATCCATGGCTTGCTGTTTAATAGTTTTAATTTATGAACCATAGCAAATTAATTTTTGTGGGTTCTATGAAGCTGGGGATCAGAGGGTTCAGATAGATTTTTTTCATGTTTATCCAGGTCATTGTTCACAATACTTTTATTTTTTCATTGACTAGTCTTGGTGCATTGGTCAAATTAAATTGGCTATATATACATAGACGTATTTTTGGACTCTTATTTTGTTAATCTATTGGCTTATCCTAATTATGTCACTATTCCACTACTGTGATTGCTGTAGCTTTTAAAACAACTTTCTCATTAGGTAGTGGAAGTCATCCAAGTGTGTTCTTTTATTTTTATGTTGTTTTGGTTATCTTAGGTCCTTTGCTTTTCCTCCTATATTTTAAAGCTTTTTTTATAACTTAATTTTGACATAGTTTAAACAAATCATGCTGCAAATTAGTATAATTTCAATGTATATATTCTCCAGCTTTCCTTAATGATACTACCTTAAATAATCAGTACATATCTTCAGTGAGCATGATACTGCCTTTAAAGGGGCAAAGATTGATATTGGGGGAGAAAAATCATACTATTTCAATGTATAAAGCACTGTTATACATACAGTACATGAACAGATACACAATGTATCTGTGATAGTAACATTTAGGGGGGGGATTAGGAGATAATGTCTGAAAAAGCTCATTTAGGGGCAAAATAGTGAAACAGTTGGGGCATACTGCTATAATTCAGTGTAACTAAGGAAACCAGGAACTGACATTAATATACTATTTACTCAGGTACATATCTGAGTTGAATTTCACCACTTTTTAAAAAATAAATGTTTTTATTGATTTTAGAGAGAAGGTAAACTTCAGATTCTACATATCTGAAAATGTGTTTAACTTTACTCTTAATTGGCTCTATAATTCTTGGATGTAAAATAATCTCTCTCAGAACTTTGAAGTTACTTCTCCATTATTGCATTCAGGTCTTGCCAGGGAAATATGATGTAATCTGATTCTCATTCCTTTGGGTGGGAAATATATTTTCCCTTTTGAAGCTTTTAGGATTTTGTTTCAGAGATTTCATCTAAGTGTGTGTAAGTAATTTATAGTCCATTTCTGTCCAAGGACTCGTGTCTTATTATTTGCTTCAGTATATTTATCATACGAATTTTAAAATAGGATTTTCCATATTCTTTTTGTTTGTTTGTTTTTGTTTTGTTTTTTGTTTTTTGGATTTTCCGTATTCTTTGAACTCTCTTAGGAGTTGGTTACTTCTTGAGTAATCACAGAGTGTTGTCCTTCATCAAATTAAGGTGATTCTTGGCTGTTTTGTTTTGTTTGCTTTTTGATGTACCCTGGTACCCTCACTACACTACCTGCATTTAGAGATGGTTGATCACATATTACCAGGGAGAGTTTAGGGGTTTCTGGTTGTCCTAGGTGTTATGAGATACTGGGAAACTTCCTTATGAACTTTTGGGGATAATTACCCGTTACTTACCTCTTTTATCCATAGTCTGAAAGCAGCACCAGATGTGACTCACTTGGCTCCTACTCATGTATTTCAACCAGTAAAGCTTTAGTTTCCTCAATGAAGTCTTTTGCTCCTTATTTTTGCTGCTTCTGAGCATGGAGCAACAACACCCACTTGTCCTGGGGAAAAACTGCTTCCTGGAATCTGATCTCATCTGCCTTTTGTCTTTTAGAGATTCTTGATCATTTTAGTTCCCTGAGAACACTTTTGTTTTTATTTATTTATTTTCTTCTTTTCTTAATCCTTACCCGAGGACATGATTTTATTGAATTTTAGAAAGGGAGGAAGAGGGACATGGAAGTGAAAGAAATATCTATCAGTTGCCTTCCCCACAGGCCCCGATACAAGATCAAACTTGCAATCCAGGCATGTGCCCTGACCAGGAATCAAACCGGCAACCTTTCAGTGTTTGAACAATGCTCCAACCAACTGACAGACCTGGCCAGGGCACTTTCCATTTGTTTTTCAGGACTCTAGGAATTTAAGGAGCAGGTGGGACTCTGCAGCAGGTGCTCAGTCTATTACTTTAATCTAATTGTGGAAGTTGTGTTTAAAATGCACAGAAATCTCACAGGTTTTTTTTTATGCACATAATATTCCACTTTTTCTTCTGCAGTTCTGGCTTTCTTAAACCACTCTTATTACTAAATACATTATTCGTGTGTCTCTTAATCTTGGGTTTCAGTATCGATAAACATCATCATCAATATCTTCTATCCTTGGATCTTAGTATTGATAAAACTCCTCTTGGGGATTATATTAATTAAAAAATTATAATATTTTAGTCTATAACTTAATTTTGATAAGATTACATGAAATATGTTATAGTTTGCAGAAATTTTAGAAATATGTTGCCTATGTCTTACATTTTTTCCTGCTCTATATAAAAATTATTTGGAATGATTTTTAGTGACTGAAATAATCATAATTTTATGAAGTTATAAAACAGTTTTTAACATATTTGCATAGACTTTTATTTAAGTAAACCACAGTGCTTATTTCCCCTTCATACAGGTGATTTACTTGAGACTTACGTATATTAAAGAAATACCTCCTTTTTTTTCAGAACAGCATCTCAGACATGTTGAAAAAGATGTTTTGATCCCTAAAATAATGAGAGAAAAGGCCCGAGAGAGGTGTTCTGAACAAGTTCAAGGTAATATTCAAATATTCATATAAAGATCAAATACATTTTTTATAATATGATCTGAATTTAATCTTTAGCCTTAGAGTCAAGTAGTCAATGAATTAATATGTATGAATTGTTTCTCACCCTTTCACCGAGATACCAGGGTTTCAGCTTTCAGAACTTCCAGATTATATTGAATTCATTTACAACTTAAAAATATTCTCTCAAATTACTAGTAAAAAATGCTTTCCCCCCCAGAAATATAGCTACATATAGGGACTTAGTATGAATATTTTGGAGAAACAAGTCACTCTGGTGGTTTTGATAGAGCAAGAAGAAACATAAAAAAACATGTACCTGTTTTCATCTGTCAACATATTCATACAGGAATATATTTCAAGATGATTTTCTCTGGTGTCATTGTCTATTGCTGAATTGTTAATGGAATTCCATAGTACTTATTATGAGTCTGTTGTTTTTTTAATGTTTTATCTTGATGAGTAGAAGCTATTTATATAAATCAGGGGTAGGGAACCCTTTGGGCCTAGGGCCATTTGGACACTTATAACTTTACTAGAGGCCCCATGCACAAAATTTATGCAAGAATAGGCCTTCCTGTTCTAGCCAGTTTTGCTCAGTGGATAGAGACCCAGCCTGTGGACTGAAGGGTCCAGGGTTCAATTCCGGTCAAGGACATATGTCTGAATTGCGGACTTGATCCCCAATAGGGGGAGTGCAGAAGGCAGCCAGTTATTCTCATCATTGATGTTTCTGTCTCTCTCTCCTCTTCCTTCCTCTCTGAAATAAAACATATATATATATATATATATATATATATATATGTTTAGAAAAAGAAAAAAAAAAAAAAAAAAAAAAGAGAGAGAGAGAAACAGTAGGCCTTCCTTCCCCAGGCTGCTGGCACTGGCTTCCTTCTGGCACCTTAGCCTTAGAGTCAAGTAGTCAATGAATTAATATTGACTTAATTTTTTTTAAAATTAAGGTCAGGGCACATGCCTGGGTTGCAGGTTTGATCCTGGGTCGGGGCCTGTGGGGGAGGCAACTGATAATATTTCGTCCAGAAGGTCTTCCAGAAGGACATTCAGCTGTCTGATCTAATTAACATATTATGCCTTTATTATTATAGATTCTCAGGCCATACAAAATTATCAACTTAAAAATTATCCTGTTATATTGGGTCTAGTAATAATTAATGTCGTTTTTAAACATTAGTTTAAAATCTTGCTTGGCGTTGACTTGTATTGACATAACCTTCAAACACGTGGTATCTACAGAATGTGTGAAGTGCAGTTAACAACTTTTGCTTGAAAAAGTTTGTGTTTGGTTTGGTTTTAGTTGCAAAACTAGGGCTAAGAAGATGGCGGATGAAGAGCATATTCGGCACTGCATGCTTTACGAGTTCCAATTAGGAAGAAAAGCAAGTGAGGCTGCAAAAAACATCTGTAGTGCTCTTGGTCAAGATGCAGTTAGCGCCAGAAAATGCCAGCGTTGGTTTGAGAAATTTCACGAGGGAAATTTTTCGTTAGATGACAAGAGTGGTCGAGGCCGTGTGTCCAATTTTGATCAAGAAGCTCCTCAAGCTCTTTTGGTGCAAAATTCTCAAATTACCCAACAAGAGCTTGCGACAACTTTAAATTGTTCACAAAAAACAATTTCCAATCAATTGCGTGCACTTGGCAAAGTCCAAAAGTTTGGAAAATGGGTTCCTCATGAGTTGACCTACAACAACCGTAATCAAAGAGTCACAATTTGCAGTTCGCTCCTCTCTCGTCAAAACCGTTTGCCGTTTTTAGAGCAAATTGTTACCGGAGTTGAAGAATGGGTGCTGTATGTTAATTTGAAAAGGCGGCCTCAATGGTTGGACAAAAATGAGGCTCCGCAGCCCACGCCAAAACCTGACTTGCATGCGAAAAAAGTGATGATGTGTGTTTGGTGGAATTTTAAAAGAATTCTTCATTATGAACTTTTACCATCTAACCAAACCATTACAAGTGCAGTGTATAGTGCCCAATTGGAAAGGTTAGCCCAAGCTTTAAGAGAAAAAGAACCCGCGCTGATTAATCGGAAGGGTGTAATTCTTCACCACGATAACGCACGACCGCATACTGCAAGAATCACTGCTGAAAAACTGCGCCAGTTGGAATGGGAAGTTCTCCCTCAACCTGCATATTCTCCTGATATTGCCCCTTCCGATTACCATTTGTTTCGTTCTTTGCAAAACTTTCTTCTTGGAAAAAAATTTAATAATGAAGAATGCCTCAAAAATGCATTGACCAAATTTTTTGCATCAAAATCACAAGAATTTCACAACAGAGGGATTAAAATGCTTCCTGAGCGTTGGGCACAAGTAGTAGAAAACAACGGCAACTATATTGTTGATTAAATTTTGTTGTATTGTTTAAATAAATTCGATTTAAAAAGGTATTAGAAAACGACATTAATTATTACTAGACCTAATATTTGGTCAAACATTTAATTACCTCACCCCTAATGCCTTGGCAGGTCCAAACCAAATGATTTTGCTGGCTTTATATGGCTTTTGGGCCAGGCATTCCCCACCCCTGAAAATGGATGTATGCTTACTTAGAGAATGTTTTAAAATATTTTAATACCACCTTGCTATATTCTGTAAATCTAGAGATGTATTGTTGATTAATATGTAACATGGTGAAAAATGTAAGCAAGCCAGTGGGAGGTGAAAAATGAGGCTATAAATTATTAAAAAGTCAGTTGGCAGTATTGCTGTAGAAATGTCTTTTAAAAATAATCTACCTCTTGGAATGGTCAGCTAAAAGAAATAGTGTAAAATTTTGCTAAGGTAGGCTATTTTCCTGGCTCCTTTCATTAATTTCCCCTGTAGTCTTCTTCTTCAGTGATAGACCACAGTAATTTTAGTGGGAGTGATGAGCTGCCACTTCACTACAGGTTTCTCTAGGGAAGTCAGGCTGTGTCAACTGTAGTTTTGGGACTTTGGATACTGGGAATATTTCTATTCCTCTGATGTCTCTCCTTAGAGAATGACCTTTGTGATAAATGGATGGAGGCAGTAAAAAAGAATAGTTCCTCAGAACTGACATTATATGATGGTTATTTCTGTGTCTTATATGACTTATTTGGACATATTCCAGTTTAACTCCATTTGTAAATTAGATTTAAATTAAATTCATATATATATATATATATATAATCTATATATATAAAAGGCTAATATGCGAGTGTCCCCACAGGAGTTAGACCAGGAGACTGGGAGTTCTATTGCTCATTATGATGTGCACTGACCACCAGGGGGCAACACAGTACAAGGGAAGGCCCCAGCCAGCAGTCAGGGAAGGGAGGCCCAAGCTGGCAGCCAGAAGGCCCCGATGGGCCCTGATCATTGGCCAGGCCAAGGGGCCTTATCCATGCATGAATTTTGTGCTGTGGGCCTCTAGTTTATAAAGAAATTTGTTTATAAATTACCAATAATTTATTAGTGTCATTCTATGCTATTGTTTTTGCTTTCATTATGAATTAGCTGCTTAATCAGAGCACTTGCCTTTTATACCGCTTTACTCCCCCATGTGACAGGAAAAATTAACCCATTGGCACCTGCAGGCAGGGTTCAGTGCACATCTGGCATTGGCAGGTATGCTGATAGTCTCAAGAGATAATCTTTCACTTGCCTCATAGAACTTAAAAAAACACACACACACACATATATATATATATATATATATATATATATATATATATATATAAAATCTCCTGTGTTAGGGTTAACTTTTCACTACTAGGAAAACATACTTTAATAAGTAATTGGTCTAAAGTTATAAATATGAGTTGTATTTATGCCGTCTTATAACACACATTAATTTGATATCTAGAGTTATATATTAACTTTTTACTCCCATAATTCAGATGAAAATGCAGAATGATTGTGTGGCTTTGGGTTTTATAACTGTCTTTTCTTACTGGTAGATGATGAAACTGTTTTTGAAATGTAGAAGAATATAAGTTTAAAGTATTTGTTTGTGTTCCACAACTACCATTTTGTAATGGTACAGAAAAAATTTTTTAATTTTTGATTCTTCATAAAATATTACATTGTTTAGGCTGTTGACATGGTTCAGTTTCTCTTATTAACGTACATAAAATCTTCTGAAGATTGAAAGCATCTTAAAACTTGGGTTATTTCAATGCATTTGTAATTATTAGAACATGTTATAACAATTGATTTTTTAACAATTGAAATTTTATAGATAATCATATATTGATTTTTTTAGGCCATATGGTCCAAAACAGTGTTTTTAGAATCTAAAATTAATTACTTTATAAAGCAATAATCCTTAGTATTCTTCCTGTTTAACCTTGTGAATTAAGAAAGAACATACATTGCTATTATTTAAGTGGCCGAGCAACAGCTACATTTAAAATGAACAACAAGATGCAAATTATAATCAGGATACTTCTATTATAATTTATTTACTATTTATCACCTTTGCTTTATTAAATAATTATAGGATTTTATATAAAAACATTATACATTGTTCTTAGATAAAGATATAGGAATTTTAATAAGTGGTCTGACTTTCTGCTAAATGCCTGAAACATGATTATGTAGGAAAGCTTTTCTGTTTGATTTTTTTTTTCTCATGTCATTGCAACCTGGTTGATCATAAGAATTGGGTCAGGCTGCCAGCAACTTAGGTTTGTGAAGGGAATGGAACAGCTTTTTGAGGGACAAAGAGAAATGAAATCACTTTCAATGAAAGCAAGATGCCTCATTATAGTCACCAACAGCAGTTATTGACAGCTACACTTCCTATTAACAAGGAGCATTTAACTAAGAGTTTGGCTGTTGGATCTTTGGACTTGATCTAATTTGCTAGCATTAATTAGTTTCTTTTGAGCACAGACACTTGGTGCTCACAGCTATAGATTTGGAGGGCTAATTAGGATAGAAAATTGAACAGAATGGGGTAAGGCATTAACCTTCAACCATTACCAGCTGGGACACTGATAAAGACCAC